AAACAACTAAGACCTTCGTCGGTTCTACTAAAACGTGAAACTACGTCTATGTTATATAGGCTACAAAAATTATGTTAAAATTGCTATTAATTTGTTAAGACAAAACTAAATATCCGGAATGTCATTAGGACCGTACTAATGTATGTTAATTGCTAAAACTATTATAATCTCAGTATTGTCTTCACGAACATAATTATTACGTTGACTGTTATTGAACTATACAAGGCAATTGTAAATCTCAGGAATGTCATTGTGATCATTTCCCGCATTGGCTTGTCTTAAAGAATACCACGCTTCAAGGAATAACCTTTTGTTATAATCTGGTTCACGATCAACAACTTTGGTGTTTTCAAAATCCATTCTGTGAAGGTGGGTGTTTCGTGTGTTGCGCTATTTTAGAATATTCATCGTCGTTCTTCACTGCGTTTTGGTGCTCTTTGATCCGAGTTTTCAGGGCTCTATCTGTTTGGCCAACGTAAACAAAATCACAATCCTGACAGTCAATGCTATAAACCACAGATCTTGTTTGGTATCGGTTAATTCGGTCCTTTGGTTTTGGGAAGTGTTTGTGTAGGGTGTCAATCGGTTTATAACTCACATTAAGGTTTACTCGTTTTAATGTTCTAGAGATCTGCTCCGACACGCCTTTAATATATGGTAATGTGATGAAATTTGTTTGCGGGACTGCGGAATTGACAGCATCAAGGGGGCTTTGTTTTTCCTTAAGTCTGCGATGTTTGTCACACTGTTTTAAAAACTGTTTGGGGTAGCCATTGTCCATAAGTACCTTGAAAACATGTTTACGTTACTTTCTTTTTCCCGAGGTAGAAGTCGGAATAATATCTGCTCGATTAAGTAAAGAATTAACGACAGAACGTTTATGAGTGGTGGGATGGTGGGAATTAAAATCCAAGTATTTGTTTGTGTGTGTGGGTTTCCTATTAACGCTGACTTGTATAGTGTTCGTGTTGTCTCTAGTTGTCATAGTGTCTAGGAAAGCAAGTTTGTTTCCTGTTTCCTTTTCCACAGTGAACTGTATATTTGGATCGATGGAGTTCAGGTGATTATGAAACTCACTGACATATAGTCTTTGAATAAACATGTGTGGCTATTGTCTACGAAACGAAACCACCAACGTGGTGGATGTGGGGCTGTCGTAATGGCTATTTCTTCAATGTGTTCCATGACTATATTCGCTAATGTTGTACTTATTGGGGAACCCATTGCACAGCCAGAAATTTGTTGATAATGACAACCGTCGTATTTGAAATAACTATTTCGTAATACGAACTCTAATAATTTTATAACATTGTTTATAGATATGTCTGTACGAGTTGTGAGATTATTGTCTTGCACTAGCCTTTGCTTGACCACTTGCAAGGCTAATTCAATTGGAGTAGATGTAAAAAGCGAAACCACATCGAAGGATACCATGATCTCATCACTCGATATAGATTGATGGCGTATTTGTTCTGCGAACTCGCTGCTATTCTTAATTGAGAAATTCTCGTTCAAAAGGGGGGAGAGTATACGGACTAGATGTTTGGACAGTCGGTAAGTGGGAAAGCCAATACAGCTGGTAATGGGACGTAAAGGGATTTCAGGTTTGTGGATCTTTGGCAAACCGTAGAATGTGTCAACATTGGCATCTGTGCTATGTAAAAAATAGTACAGCTTGTCTTGAATTTGCTTTGTTTCTAGACTATGTGTTGCTGGTTGCGATCTAATCTCTCTTAAAAGACTATTCATATAATTTTTGTAGCCTATATAACATAGACGTAGTTTCACGTTTTAGTAGAACCGACGAAGGTCTTAGTTGTTTGACCGAAACGTCTTCTGATATTTTAACATTTTAAAATAAATTTTTTAACCAGTTTCAACCTTCCAAGCTCTACTTTTAGCTTCCATTATATATATATATATATATATATATATATATATATATATATATATATATATATATATATATATATATATATATATATATATATTAATATATATATTTATTATATTAATATATATATTATTAATATATAATATATATATATATATATATATATATATATATATATATATATATATATATATATATATATATAAATCTATCACTGAGCCAACTTTCTCTAAAGCCCAACATTTATATAAATCAATCAATGATATATCATCACATCAGAGCTCATATAACACGTTTTAGTAGAACCGACGAAGGTCTTAGTTGTTTGACCGAAACGTCTTCTGATATTTTAACATTTTAAAATAATTTTTTTAACCAGTTTCAACCTTCCAAGCTCTACTTTTAGCTTCCATTATATATATATATATATATATATATATATATATATATATATATATATATATATATATATATATATATATATATATATATATAT